TATATATATATATATATATATATATATATATATATATATATATACATACNTAAATACATACATATATATACATACATAAATACATACATATATATATATATATATATATATATATATATATATATATATATATATATATATATATATATATATATATATATATATATATATATATTTATATATATATATATATATTTCACATCCTCTTTAATATGTAAAGAGCACCCCTCTCAGGACACCCCCAAACTGCGGAGCATCGAAGGAATTTCTGTTTAGTTTTATAAAAAAAATTTAAAACTATATAAGATATTTATAAAATAATCAAACTCTAGTCGTCAAAATTTTCTACTCCACCGGCACTCCATAGTTCTTCCTCAATTCCAAACTAGTTGTGAATCCCCAATATTTAGCAGGCCGGCTGGAACGGCAGCGTTGTGACTGCACAATCGACGATGGACCAAAGAGGCCATTTCTGACGCAGGAAGGACTGGTCGTTCCAATTTGGGCAGGATGTTATTGCTCCAGCTCTCCTGAGCGTCGAAAGAATCTTGAAATGGAATCCTCAACGATATGGTTGTTCTTTAGCATAGCGATGTACTATATGGTCTTCGTAATGATCCTTATTGAGAGCAACCATCCACGGACGATCATGTTAACCAGATATGAATTATTATTATTATTATTATTATTATTGTTGTTGTTGTTGTTATTTTTATTATTATTATTATTATTATTATTATATTTTTATTTTTATTTTTATTTTTATTATCTGCTATATATTGAATAGATGGCACCGGCAACTTCTGCTAAAATGATCAAAGTGTATATACATTTAAGATTCAGGAACCGGAAAACATTGACCACCTGCTCTTCCATCTAATGCCATAAGTTACAGTAGACATGTTCTCTAAAATTTCACTGATACATTGCTTCCTGACAAGTCATGAAATCATAAACAGGACATTTCAGTGGCAATTTCACACCTGGAGAGTAGAGATATCATTCTATAGCTTGCACCTGAACTGCTATCCCTGCAGGGACTGAGCAAATGTGGATATGAAACCAACCATCTGAGTATCAAAAGCAGGCCCCTCCATCTGAAAATGACCAACTCCTTCGATCAGGTGGATATCAACTTTGCCAGCAGCAGATTTAAGCTTATTTTGAAGCTGCTTTACGCTTGTGAACCCATCTTTTGTTCCCATGATAAATAGCTTCGGTTTCTCCGACTTCAGGATCGCTTCATGATGCCTCCCGAAAAGGATGGAAGCCATCAACCCAAAAGGATAGCCTATACTCACATAACCAACAACTTGGTCTATTTTATCTACGGCTGAGCCAGCAACTGGGGCACCTGTCATAAGTTCTCAATGAAAAGAGACTCCAGACTACTATTGTGATTCTCAAGAAGGTTAATGCATGAAACAGTCAAGAACGAAAGTTAATAATGTCACTCAAAGTGCTTAAGTGAAACAGACAGAACAGAGGCTTGCTGGTAAAAGGCATGACCGAGTTATTAATACACTAGTTGTAAATGAATGTTTGGGGAAGACACAGACGATAGAACTGCACACGAAATTCACCTTAAAAATTCCTGATACTGATCTGATATTCTACGGTGTTTATTCTGCTCAGTATCATATGCCAAACTAGGGTCTGAATGTAGGACCGAAAATAATTGAAGTATTTATTGGTAATACATCCAATTGTTTTCTGCAGTTATAACCAAGAACTTATTAATTAAACCAAAATAATTTGCCAGCCATTCATCAAAAACTATGTTTATTGAAAATTTTGTTTTCATTTATGAAATAGGAAGCAGAAAAATAAAAAAAAAAGCTTAAATAGTAGTTCTCCTTCACAAGGAAGGTGTTACTTTCATGCAAGTCCAACCAATACCAGCTGGTGCTAATAAACCTCTGCTTTAAAGTGCCATTGGACTTGACACTCAAGGACTGAAGGCCATGTAATTCATGTAACAGTAGCCTTTGTACTGCCAACCCCCTCCCCATTCCCTTCTTTACTTCCCAGAGATCAATATTTTCTAATGGGACACAGAAAATGTGCAATTTTCTAATGGCAAGTAAGTTGTTCCATTTTGTGCATGCTTAAATCAGATGCTACAATGAAACTATCTTATGATCTCTCATAGCAATCTGCCTCACCATTATGGGACACAAGTTGGAATATCAGAACTCCTTGCTAGTTGCAATTTTTGTAAATGACCAGTGCTTTCTGATAAGCCTAGTCTAAATTCATATTTCATTGAAATAACTTCAGCCACAAGGAATGCATTTTTCAAATTATGCAGTACATAATTCCCCTTGCAGTCTATATAAACATTAGCATGTACTACATCACAGAACATTTCTCACACAAAATTTTCTGTATTGTAACTTCAATTCTCAATGGGGATCCCAATCATCCACTAATTTTAGTCCCTAACTTACACGAAACAACATAAACAACTGTGATTCTTCCACCAAGGAGTAAAACCAGTAAAAACATCATGTGGTACCACATCTCGACAAGTATTATTTTGATTCAGCATCTGGCTCATCCTCAACACCAGAAGTAAAAAGAAGGAATAATGATTTGTATCATTTGGCCAGTCAATTTAGATGAAATTGAATTCTGTCAGTAAGATTAAAGCAAAAAAAAAAAAGGCTATATTGTTCGCCTATTATGTTACATAGAGACTGCATTTTAAGTTCTCAAACATAGCGAACTTAACAGTAGCCTAGTTGACTCTCATCTCCAAGACTAATGCAGACCACAGAATTGATTGTCAATTCAGTGTGACAGTATCCCTTAATTCACTCATCACTCTCATGAGATTAACAGATACACATGGAACTAACTCAATTTCCCATGCACTCTGAATTTGAGGCTTTTTATGGTAGAGCCAAGAAAAATAAATTTGTTGGAACAATGAAAAGTGTCCATCGATGTCAATCATATAAACCATTTCATTTCATGAATACTTCTTTTGCTACATAAAGAACAAACCCAATTCAATGCCTATCAAGTACAAAAAGATGAATCTAGCGCATGAGACTTCTACCAATGCTGGGTCTGGAAAGGATATATGTATCCAGCCTTACCCCCACACCCCCACATATAGAAAGGATGTTTCTGTGACAAACCTTTGTATGCAACCTATCGGTAGTCTCTAACAAGGTCTGCCGTACCGAAGCATACCGCCCGTACTGGGCGGTACGTACCGGTCCGGCAGGTTACCGGTACGCGGACCGCCCGCTACCGGGCGGTACGCCCTAAAAACCCTCGTATCGAGCGATACGAGGTAAAATCGAGCGGTAACGGTCGAAATTTCGACCGTTACCGCCTGGCACCACTCGGTAACGGTCGATTTCGACCGTTACCGTCCGACACCACTCGGTAACGGTCGGTCGGTAACGGTCGAAATCGACTGTTACCACACAGTAGCAGTGCTACAGTGTTCCAACGGTCAAATTGACAGTTGGAGCTTTTTCTCCTCCTATTTAAACCATTCTTCTCTCCCCTATTTCATTATACTCTCTTAAACTCTCTCTCAAACTTTCTTTTTCTCTCCTATACTCTATAAAACAACGATTTGTGAATTCAATCGAGGCTAATTTGGGAAGATTAAGAGGAAGAACTTTCTAATCAAGAGATATGTATTCGTTTTTTTTAATTAGAGAGTAATTAAGACTATCCTAACTTTTCTAATCAAGAGGTATGTATTCGTTTTCTAATCAAGAAGTATGTATTTGTAACTTGACAACACTATCCTAACCTTTTTTTTTTCTAATTTTCAGATATTTTGGAGGGATAAATCGATAAAATCAGGTGTACCGCTCGGTACACCTCGGTATACCGGTCGGTACACCCATACCATACCGTACCGAGCCCGGGTCGAAACTCCGGTACGGTACGGTATGGCGGACCTTGGTCTCTAATATTGTATAAACTTAAAGTAAACTTTTCTTGTTTCTGTCACCTGAACCTTAAGCACATAACATTTGAACTATTTTTCAAACAATTGCTAATCTCCATTATTATTCATTAAAAAAAAAGAACTAAAATTGGCAAAACAGGCATCAGCTAAGGTGCCAAGTCGGAAATGTACCTATATGAAGTACTATAAATAATTGACAACAATATGTTGGGATGATCACAAGCATTACTAGCAGAAGCAGGTAGAAACAAATCTTCAGTCTAGAACCCTATTACGGGTTCTGCGTCACATTTCCCTTTCCTCTATTCCTACTCTTGCCTGGTTTTCCCTTGTTTGATACTCTGAACACCTTAATTGCAAATATATCGTAAAGATAGCCCCTCATGTTGCTGTTTTCTACCGAAGTATTTGTCAAAAGGACCTCTTTTTCATTTGGATCTCTTTTTTTCGAGCCCATCCTTGTATTGTACATAAACCAGGGGATTATTGCAGACAATTAATTAGTGAGTCTTTTCTCATATCAATTCAACTTGAACCACTTAGAATGTAATGTTTGCCAACAACTGAAGTTCAAGAGGATTGCTATTCGGCTATGCAAACTTAAATATAAGATTATTCACAGATAAAGCACAATAAATAGACGAAGAAAATCTTTTTCACATCAAATTTGAAACTTTTTTCCATTTCAAAATTTGATTTTCTGATCATTGTATACTATAATGAAAAGTGAAGACCAACGGAGCTACTAGAGTGTTCTGATGGGATTTATAGATACTCTAAGCATCAAGAAGTATTTTGCAAAAGCATCAGATATATAAATTGTAGATTGGATAATCTTTCTAAGTATCATGGCCTACAAATCTCCTATTTGTCTTTTCTAATTTGATCAAAGATCTTAATATATTTACACTTTTTGAGTGAATGATTGACTGATTTGCTAGTAGAAGTTCAAGGTTTATCCTGTGAAGAAAATCATAAAATTTCTAGTTGATCATTGGAAAACAAACTAACATGATCAACTCTTGCAAACTCAATCAGAAATCTGCTTTTGACTCATAAGACAATCATGATATGGCACAAAGGCCTTTACTATTATTATATTTTCTTTTGCAACGGATATTTTTTTTTAGTCCTAATCTAACAAAACCTCCGGATCCTAAAATGATACTTTTGGGAGCCCTGAGATCCACCTTATCATCGTCCAGGAAGATAAACATCCACGCATTTCGTCGGATCCAACATCAAGTTACCAAAAGCATTCTAGCAAGTAATCGAGTTGGCACCAATAATGCCCACTGTACAAAATTCAGACTATCTTTCCCCTGGCGAAGTAGTCCGCAGGGGAGCAACAAAATCTAATGAAGCAGAAGAAACAATTTTTGGCATCGTCGAAAGAAGAGGTACCACCGATCTATCGATCCACCAAAATAAGTAAAAAAGAACGCGGTCGAGAACGATAGTTGAGGGTTATTACCTGCGGAGGAGCCGACCAAGACGATGCCGCGAGGGGAGAGGGTATCGGAGACCCACTTGCAGACGGCGATGACGTCCTGGATCTCAGCGGAGCCGAAGAAAGATGCCCGGCCGGAGGAGCGGCCAGCGCCCCTCATGTCGAAGGTGACGGCCCGGTATCCCCTTTCGGCGAGCCCGGTGGCGATCCCCCGGAGGAGGCCCTGGAAGCCTCCAAGGACGGTGTAGGGGTGCACGAGGACGACGACGAGGTCGCTGATGGGGGAGTCCGACGGCTTAAAGAGCCGCGAGTGCAGCGTGACGCCGTCGCTGGTCTCGACCGTCACCGACTCCATCCCACCACCACTGCTTCAGCAGGAGAGAGAGGTCTTTTTCCACCCGCTGTGGACTTTTATTATTAGAAGAAGGTAACGTGGTTATGAGGAACGGCAAGTGGTTGGGTTTTTAGGTGAAAGCGAGAAAGAGGAACCACAAAATGAAACACCCATCAAACAATCACAGGGTTCACGATGCTCACATACATACCTATGACGGCCACTTAAAAAGAGCCAATCGGAGAATATGATTCATTTGGCCAGCAGATATTATCCGCAGCAGTCGACGTGTGATTATATTTTAGCATCTAAGTTGAATCAAATGGGAAATAGATCAAGGGATTCATCTCATAATGGATCATGTTGAAAAGAATAAAAACACTATGTGAGCCTTCCGAGCGGGCCCTGATCTAGATGATGATTTAGACATGGTCTACATAGGCATTTAGAAAAAAGATGATAATTCAGCAAAGGATACAGATACGAATCAGCTGAGCCTGTCCGAACGAGGCACCCACGGCAAAGGGACACTTACCTCACCTCCGACGAAACGAGGTCGGCGAGCGACGACTGTCGTACATAATTCTACAACACTAAGGGCGCTCCTCCTAACTCACCTCCGCCCTCGCTTCCTCGGAGCCGACGCCGATGTCCTCGAAGTGGCCTCCGCCGCTTCCCTCGCCCTCTTGGCCGGAGGGGGAGGCGGAGCCGCCGCCCTCTTCGGCGGCCTTCCCACGCTCCTCTTCGCTGAACCGCCGCTCGTCTCCGCCGCCCTCTTCCTGGGACCGCCTCTACCGCCGGTCCCTCGACGGGGCCTCTGGTCCTTCCGGTCGTCGCCTTTTGCGTCCTTCTGCTCCATCCCCTTTGCATTGCCGCCTCCGGAGGATGAGGAAGTCTTCAGCATTTCCATCAGCTTCCCGTTGGAGCTTCGCTTCATCCGGTTCAAGAAGCTGGTCGCACTTTGCTTTTTCGCCGAAGAAGCTGGGGCAGTGCCAGTGCCAGTGCCCGCGCCACCACCACCGCAGTTCTTCTTATCCGGTTTCACCGCCTCCTCGACAGTGGGCACATTCTCCAGAGATTTGGACTTCAGGGTCGGAGCGGGAGCAAGGTTGGGCTTCTTGGCGGGCGGACCTCCTCCCCCGTTGCCACCGCGAACCTTATTGGTCCGCAAGCCTCTCGTCGTCCCAGTGGGCCCGGTCTTTTCATTGGTAGTCTTTGTCTGAAGGCTCTTCTCCTCGTTGTCCAATTCCTTCCTCCCAGGATCGGCCTTCTCGTCCCTCTCTTCCTTGACTACTGCCACAGCTGGCTTGTTCGAGATGGAGCTTCGCTTGCGGCACACGATCGACGGCGTCGGGGACATTGGTTTCTCGACGAGGGCAACGGCGAGATCAGGTTCCAGCTTGGGCTTCGAGGCGGTGGGTTCAGACTGAGGAGCAGGCGGCGGGGGAGGCGGCAGCGTCGGTTCCTTCGGTCTACGGAAGACGGAAGCCATCTCCTTGACCAATAGCCGGCGAAGACTGAAGGCAGCGACAGCCTCGGGGGAGCCTTTGGCGTAGAAGACGACGGCGTTGGTGCAGAGGAGCAGCATGTCCCGGGCGAACTCAACTGTCGCATACGAGCAACCCGATTCCACGCGATCCAGCTTGGCCCGCACCATCTCCAGGTCCACGTGGTGCCGTATGAGGCTCCGATATCCAACGCAATCCTAGAATTTACATCATGTAACTGATTACATTACTTCAAATATTATTTTGACACAAGCAATGAAGCAAATGCTTAGAGAAAAAAGGCACAGAGATACGTCTTATATTTATAATCATTTTCGGAGAGATTAGTCAAAATTCACAATTTACGGGATGTACGAGGACCGTTCATTCGGTACTCGAACGAATTATCTGGACATGTCAGTCTCAGCGTCAAAGGCCTTTAAGAGTAGTGCAAGATTTTTAATCATATCCTGCCGAGTAGGCAGGAGATGAAATGTTTACTCCATGCATATGATCTGTAAAGACGACCAATAAGTAAGTAGCGTGGATAAAAAGCCACACAACCATAATAGGACTAACTATATATTATCTTTTATATTTAAATTCTATTAATATTATAATTTTATATTTAAAAAATTTATATTAAAATTCTTATAATTTTAAAGATAAAATAAATATTCTCATTTATCCATCAATCACATTGATAAAAAAATATAATACATGATATCAGATCGATACGAAAATAATGAACAAAAAAGATAATTTTAACATTCTTTTCGTTTCCAATGATTTTATTGATAAAAAATAATTTCAATATCCCATGAAAGAGATATTAAAATTTACAATGTTTTTTTGTCAATATAGTTAACGACATTAAAACAAATAAAGTTATTTATTTTATTTTTAAAATTATAGAAATCCTAATATTTTTTTTAGGTACATTAAACCACGATACAAATAGGATTCAAATACAAAAAATAATATATAATTAACCAACCATAATCCGATCTTATTTATGTTCCTAAATGAGATTGTAGATAACAAGCAAGTTAATTCATAGTCAAGTCAATCAACTCGATAATATTATATATAATCCTAATAATAATGATAATGAAATAAGCAAACATCATATTTGAAATTCATATATCGAGATCCGACACTACTGATTTTATTTATTTTACCCATATTAACATCTTTCAATTATCAGGTAAAATATTCGCCCAACCCGCTGTCTCATTTCACCGTTACAATGACCACACAAAGAAAACTGTTCTGTTTTACATGTATGCAATTTTAGACTTCAATCCAAGTACTGTCTTCATTCTACCCCCAAACTTCCAAGAGAAGTTGCGCATGTGAGAATTAGTATACCCTTTTTTTCTCGCGATTAAATGGCCTACCCACGACAAACAAGATATTAGCTTTGGGAGCATCACCACCGTCGGATCTTATATTCGTGGATTCCTAAGCAATGCACCTTTTCCACACCACATGCACCCAACAGCCAATCCGACGGTGTAAAAGCGAACGAACACGCATCTCCTCGCATGTGCGAGTACGGCCATATATAATCCGACGGTTCAGAATCCCAACCGCAATATCTCACGATATTCCTCAATTTCTCACCGCCTTTGAGTTCCGTCGCCCGTGCCAAACTTGAGTCCTTATATTAGCAGGTAGATGATGCATGTGTACATGTGCAATATTAAAACCTTATTCTTTAATATATCACGAGAAATTAAAATTGGAGAGAAGAGAATAGAAACCTGACTCTCGAGCCGGCGCTCGAAGACGGACCCGTATTTGTCCGACCGGATAATCTGGAGCAAGGAAACCAACGGCAGCGATTCCGCGGCCGCCCGCTTGTTCAGAATCGACGCGTCCTCCGCCTCCGGCTCCTCCCCACCCCCGTCAGGCATCACCTTCTTCCGTCGCCTCCGCGAGAGGCTCGCCGAGCTTTGCACGTCGCTGCTCTCCTCCCCTTCCCCGCCGCCGCCCTTCGACTCGGCGATGGACTCGCCCGACTCGCCCATCGCATGCGACCGGGCAGCCGCTTCCGCCGCGGGGCTCCCCGTGCTGCCGTTGTAAGATCCCTCATCCATCTTCTCGTTTCCCCCAGTGGAAGGATCAGCGGCCTCCTTCTCTGTTTCCCAAAGGTCCTCGCCGGATTTCTGCTTCGGATCGGTCGAGTTGGACTGCTCGCACGAGGGACCAGAGGCACCGCCAGATGAGATCGGGTCTCCGGCAAGGCTTCCCGGCGTAGATTTCGGCGATCCGCCCTCCTCCTTCGCGTCCCTATCCGGTTTTCCCTCGCCGGATTCCCCATCCTGGAGGCTTCGTTCGCGATCCTCTTGAAGCCTCTTGACCTTCAATTGCAAAGATCTAAATACATGTATTTCAAAAAGAACATCATTAAGTACTTCCACGGGATAACGCTTACGGCCGTCTGATCCTTATCCCACAGCTCAGAGAAATAACAAGAGAGGGAGAAGGAAAAATAATACTGAAAGGACTAGGAGAGAAATCTGATGGTAGGATTACCCGATCGATAGATCACAACGCTCGAGCTCACGGCGGAGCTCGGCGACACGGAGCTTACGGAGCTCCTCGAGCCAGGGGACGTCTGCCGGCGGATCAGGATCGGCGTCGCTGCCGTCGTTGTCTCCGCCGGCGCCGAAGCGGCGCTGGAGGTCACGGAAGCGCTGGCGGCAGCCCTGGGGGGTGACGTGGTGGGAGGCGGTGGTGCGGGACTGGATCTCCATGGAGACGGAGTCCCAGCGCCGGGTGCCATGGCGGTTGACGGCGCAGGCGAGGAGCAGCTCCTCCCACGTCCCCCATACTTCCCTTTCGTCCGGATCGCCGGACCTCGCCATCTCATCGTCCGCCGGGATCACTGCGCCGTTGCCACCGCAATGAATCCTAGTAGGCCTTCGCTTCTTTCTCCCTCCCTCTGTTAGTTTTAGGTCCGTTTCGGGTCCCCTATGTCTCCTTGTTAGGCTTTCGTTCATCTACTGCTTCTTCCTGCCCGCGGTGGAGATAATGGAGATCGACGGACACGCATGTCACTTAAAGGGACCCTTCTTCCTTGTCCAAAAATGACAATATTACCCCCATCGATAAGTTGAAATGCCGCGACCAACGACGTGGACCACAAATGGCACTGGTTCGTTTGGCGAAGGGCTCGGGGGCTGGTTACCGTTCGATCTCTGGAGTCTTCTTGCCAACCGTCGATCGTGGATATCCTGGGATAATTACTGTTTCGGAGGATCGGATCGGCTGCGTTTGGTGGAACATGGTTTGCCACGCCAGCTGAACCAACGCTCGTGATGCGTGCTTTTATAGCTGCGTTCAGGACGATGCATTTCCGAGAGGAGAAGGGTCACATGAGCGGGATTGCGGCTACTCCGTCTCGGATCATGGCGCATCACCGCAAGGGTAGCGGATTCCGAACACCGAAAGCTGACGTCAGAATGTGCGGTACGCGCAATTTTCTTCACCCATATGCGTGTCGTCCAATGATACAAAGTTGTGGTGAGCTTGGTGTGTGTGTGTATGCCGGACTACACGTAGGATGTTGATGAAGCCAAAGCCGACCTCTTGGTGCCAATATCCGTACGTATAACAGAAGAATCCGTCGATTGGAAGACACAATAGCGGCCCCCTTGCAAACTCAAGCAAGTGCCAACAAAAGTTCCTAGAGTATATATAGAAACGCATTTTTCATGAAATGGGGTGTCGATTCCTAACGCAACATGATTTAGACACATATTGTTCGTGAGTAGGTGTCGGTTCTTCCTTCATAAGCTGTCGATCTTGTGACAAACAGTCACTAAATATTATAATACTCATTAAGCTGTTAGAGTTTATTTTTTTCAAGCAAAAATAATTTGTGTGATACACAATAGGAAGTCACCGGCACCTTTCTATGGTAGGATTAAGCCCTATTTTTCTTATAGGAATGAATAAAAATAAAACTAGTGTCCTGCGAAGCCTCCATCATGCCAATAGTAGCAGTAACCCCAATGACAAATAATAGAGTCAAATAATATAATAATATTGATCAATGAAAAATGGGTTTATGTAAATAGTTGCATTAATTGGATATCAAAGGGGTTTCTAAATATATATAACTAAAAACATCCTATCATGTGCTATAAATTTGCATTACTAAACTAGAGAGAGAGAGAAAGAGAAACTTATAATTTTTATATGGATATATCATTTTTACTTTAATACTATTATTTTTATAAGATCGATAAAAACATAAAATAAAATGAATGATATATCATTTTTATAATTTACATCCTATAAATTTATCATCCGGTCACTTTAGCAACTACAAATTAGATAAAACTTAAGGATATATATTATAAAAAATATTCACTTAAATTTTACTTTAATGCTATTATTGTGTAAAATTTATTCAATAAAATATTGTAACAATAATTGAATAGCATAATCAAGTAATAGCAACAAACAAAAATAAACATCATGGTTTCATATAAAAATAAATAGTATTTCAGAAATTTTCTTTTATGCTCATGTATTTAATAGCCACATAAATATTAAAAAATAATGAATGAAATTTTTAGAAAACATAAGTAATTCAACTGTCACGTGGATAACAATTAAATAATGTCTGTAACTTATTTTTCTCTTTAATTTTGATAAAATTATTTATCAAAATTTTATGGCATGATTTTTATTATTATTGATGAATTATGGTTGTTGATAGAATAATGCAAAATCTGAAGGGCAAAAAAATGTACGCAAAGGATATCAATTATAAGTAATTTAAGACGGGTAACATTGGAATATGCTCGATTAAAGATATTAAGTAAAAAATAATTGATTTTAGAAGGACAATTTTGTCTTTTACTGGGGTGGAGGCGCAAAAGCCCAATCCTAGTTGCCACGGCAGCTGTTCAGTTGCAGTCCACGTCAACGCCAAGCTTCTCTGTGACCTTTTCGCCGCGCATGGCCAACCAGTGACCTCACTCCTGCATCAATGCTATTGTGCCGTCGTTGTGCGTCACCGCATAGCCCCCTTACCGGCGGCCACCTCCGCGTGTGTCGTCAATGTAGCAACGCCGTCCGTCGTCTCACAATCCTCGGTCGCCGCCAGAACCAGCGTATATCAATGCTAATCAACGACCGGAGTCCTACCGCTGCGACGCTCCTGTGACGCCTGAGCCACGGTCGATGGCAGCTGCCGCTGCACGCCAGCAGGGCCACCGACCACAGTAGGCCGTCGCACGCAGTAACGTTGCGGCCCAAGGCAACTGCTGCCCGCGGTAGGGCCGATAACCTTCTGCCACCGCAGCCCTCAGTAGGGCCATTGCATCCCCGTCGCTGTCCACAGCAGTGGCCACAGGACATGGTGCTGCCGCTGCCTACGACAGGTCTCGCAACCAAGGCAGGCCGCTGCCCTCCACAGTGTTATCGTTGAGGGCAAAGCTGCCAACAGAATCCAGTCGACTAAAATTGGGGAATACGTTTACCAACACCTAAACACAACGACTCCTTCGGATTTCACTTCACTTGTACGTGCGAGATACTCCATCGCCCTCAAGTAAGTAGGCGATGAGCACAAAGGGATAGACAAAAAATCGGACATAATACACCACAAGTTAATTTATAAATAATATTAATTTAAGATTAAAACAGTGATTCAAAAGATGAATAAATTAAATCATACAAATAGATCTAAATTTTTTTTAATGATTAAGATAATTATATTTAACCTATGACTCAAAAATAATTATAAAATTAAAAATATTGATGTCGAGGATTCAAATTTAATATATCATAGATCTGAAATATATATATATATATATATATATATATATATATATATATATATATATATATATATATATATATATATATATATATATATATATAT